ACAAAATAAAAAATGTATAAGAAACAAACGGAAGTATGATATAAGCATTAAGAATTCGTTTTTACCGACTAATATTCTCATGAGATTCCTATTATTATTTGTTCAAGTTCAAGAACGCGAACGCGTGCCAAGAGACTTACTGTTCTATCATTAGATCGGTCTTGTCTAGGGTTCACTAACCAAGCGATTCGAACTTCCTCTTCATATTCTTCCTCGAACATATTTTTTCCCCGTTTGAAAAATAGATAATCATCTATCTATCTATCTATCTATCTAACCGAAATTTTGTTTAATATAAAGAAATAATAATCAAAGGATTCGATGAAATTAATTTCATAATCTGTATAGAATTCTTAAACTAAACCCCCCTCATAAAATTTGCACATTAAAAAAAAAATCGAGGATACGTAAATGATTTTTTTGTTCTTCTTCTTCATTATGATACCAATTATCGATAATAGATGTAATATTTTAGATTACAATTGTTATTATTATTTATGAAGGTAATTTAATTTTTTTTTTTTTACTGAATTGCAAAATTTAAATTTGAGATTGTGATAAATCGTATAATACACAAAAATATATACATAGTTACGAATCAGAGTGGGGGGTAGAGGGTGGGCTAAGTAAAATACAGATGATTTTTATTTTTATTAATCATTCGATTTTACGAACAAGAATTGTTTAATTTATTATTTAAAACCACCACTAAATTGATTATTTTCTGTTATTAAATCCCCCCCTCAAAAAAAAATAATTAAAAAAAATACAAACCACACACAAACAATATAAAATGACAATATCAATGTAATAGAAAAATACTGCGTACGTGAATAATTGATGAAACAAAATGAGAAATAGGAAAGAAGAAAAATCCAAATTTTCAAAAAATAGTCACGATTTCTTAATAAAAAATAATTGTTTTTTCTAATTTTATGCTAATAGGATGAGATCATCATCGAGAAAACAAGGAAGCTAGGAAACAAACTAAAGAGAGAAAGAGGATAGTTAGTTGGCGTCTTTGAATAAGAGACAAGGAAGTTTAATCATGCGTGTGAGCAGCAGCAACGAACGATAATACGATGGCAGCAAGTGTCTGCAAGCTACCAACCGAATGACTCATGTATATAACATACACCATACACATATATACACTATTAGCAAAAAGTTTGGAATTCGTATTACCAACTAAACCAGGAAGAAAACCAAAAGAAAAAAAAATGTAGTCGCGTGGATGCCGTATATATCCGGCATCATAATAAAAAGTGAATTTAAAAAAACTTGATGCATATAAATCAATACATCAAAAATAATTGAATCTCTTGAAACGTCATTTAACTAATCGATATAATTCGATACTTGAAAGTATCTAAGATAGTTTAAAAATAAAATCGATTAAAATGCAACGATGATCTATAATTTTCGTTTCTGTTCAACGATTATCCCCATTTATATACAACATGAGATTAATTAAACAACGGTGGTTCATTAATCCGCGGTTTAACGTCGAGTAAATAGTAAAAAGCTGATTGTTAAATCGATATTTGAAAATAAATCGATACGACTAACGAACGAACGATCAAAACGAACGATCAAAACGAACGAAACATGATGAACAATTCATCGATTAAATGACTACGAGAAAATTAGAAAATTAGAAACGTTTAAGTAGGGTATAGCCAATTTCGAATGGTAACAAGAGAAATACCTATCTACATATTTATACATGTATACAATAAATGTATATATATATATATATATAGATGTATATAATCGAAAGCTCATTCTCATTCGAGAATGAGTAACGAGAGATAGAAAATTCAAGGGACGTTTTGCACGACCGATTTATATACCCAAGCAGCGAGATAATTAACTTGGCAAATAGACCGGACGTGAATTCTTGCCCCGTTAGAGAAGAAACGGAAAAAGAAGAAAGAGTATTTGATAGAAGAAGAAGAAGAAGAAGAAGTAGTAGAGAACGAGAGGAATGAAGCACGAGGACAAAAGAGAAAAATACGAACACGGTGTTATATAGAAAGAAATAGAAACCTTTAAAATAGAGAGAGAGAAATAGTGAGAGAAATGGATAGACAGAGATGAACGGATCAGACAGATTTATAGCTAGAATGAGAAATACAGAGAACAATCCCATTGAAAACGGACAGACGAATTAGATCGTTCTGTGAAAAGAGACGGAGAAAGGAATTAATGATCGAAAAAGAAATAAATAAACAGACTTTTCTTTTATTGATTAAAAAAATAAAGACAGGGATATATCTAAAAAGAATGATAAAGGGAATAGATAATCAAAACTAGATAATGGGTTTAGGTGAAAATAAAAATAAACGTTAGTAAGAAAGAATGATGGAAACTAGATAGATTGTTTTTCAAAAAATTCATTATTGTGTTAGACAATTTCTAATATCAATTGATTACTATGTCTTCAATTAACAATAACATGACCAAGTGTTAGTCTCTAATAAATCAAAATTGTTTAGATTATTGAAATAAATAAGAATCATTTTTAATCTTATACACTTTTTTCCAAATTCTTTTCTTACAAATTGTCGAAAAAAGAAAAACAAAACAGAAAAATAATAAGAAAAATATGAAATGTATAAATTGTTACAAAAAAAAAAAAAAGAAATTAATTATTGTTAAACAATATTTGATAGCAATTGATTACTATGTCTTGAACAAACAATGAACATGACCAAATGTGAAGGTATAGTTTTCTCGTCAATGGGAATTTGCTAACAACACTTCTATGAATGATACGTTTAGTTTCTACCAATAGAAATCAACCAACTGAACAGAATCAATCTATTATTATCACGATTACTACCTATCTAATCGTCAATCGTGATCGTGATCGTTGGTCATGGTGTCATCGTGGTCATCCCTACTACCAATCGAAGAATAATCATCGAACAGTATATACAAACCACCAAACTATGTTTACAGAAGTTGTCTCGCGTGGTCTCTCATTACCCGGACATCCCGTTGATATGTTTTCCACGCTCTCGAATTGATAATGCGAGTCCAGGAATACAACGACCTTGTTTTCGAGAGCTTGCTTTCGAACAGGAACCCTCCCTCCCTACCTACCTACCTACCTCTTCTCCTCTTCATGCGAAATCAGCTAAAGCTCTTTCTCTTTCTCACACATTCACAACACATACAGTATTTACAGTACAGAATTACACATACATATATATATATATACATACGTGTACATGCATTTATAATAATGTCTCTCTATCTATGTCTCTCTCTCTGTCTCTCAAACAAGTTCGCAAATTACAAAACAGTTGGGAAAGTAATTAATGAAATCGTTTCTTTCTCTCTTTTTTTTTGTTTTTTTTTTTGTTGTTCGTTTTTAACAGAGAAACTCGTTAAAAATTTCACTTGGAATGATCCTTCCCTTCCTTATTTCCTTACTTTTTATTTTAAATCCTTCTTTTTCTTCATCCCTAGTCTCTATCTGTCTCTTTTTTCTTTGTTTTGTTTGTTTCGTTTACATTGACAAGAAAGACAAGGGATGGGAAAAGAAGAATAGAAAAAGTTTCTAACCCGTAGGTCCGATTTAATTGCAATTCTTGTTATTGCGAGAAAGACACGGCAAAGAAAACAATGGGACATTACTTCTCGTTACCCCACCCCCCCTACCCTCTTTCCCCTGGCCCATTTATTCTTCTTCTTTAACAACAACAACAACAACAACAACTCGAACGTTTTCTAATCTTTCGAACGATTCAACGATCAACTCGATGACGCATTCAACCTTTTTCCGTTCTCGATAGGAATTACAATTGATTACGGTTTCATTTAGGTGAAAAGAAGAAAAAAAAAAAAAAAAAAAAAAAAGGAAAAAAAAATTTAAAAAAAAAAAAAAAAAATATAATACGATATGTTAGAATGTGCAATTGGAATGTAAAATTGATTTCGTTCAAGGACGCCTATCCCCCCTTCACAGAGTTTTCTCGCGTTATCCAATAATTCTCGATCTCGAAATTACTGTTATCGATATTTATTACGTTTTTTTTTATTTATTTATTTATTTATTTTTGTCTTACGCGAAGAAAATTATTGACAGAAGAAGAACGAGTCGAATCGATCTTTTTTGTATTTTATCATTCTCAAGTGCATGCTCGATGATTATTGTATCATTGTCTTTTATGTGTTTACAACGTGACCCCCTTTTTCTACGGTTCGATTGTTCCCTTCTTCTGATACGTTTAAGAAAAATAATTACGATAACGCGCGTGTTGGTAAGATAAAATAGAATTATTTCCAACTGAAATCAATTATTGTATTAGTATTATACGATGGTTGTTTGTGTCTATTAGTGTTAAAAATTTATTAGAAATGATCATGAGATATTTTTTTTGGATGGGTAACGTTAACGCGACGAAATTTTATTATTATATCACTTTCAAATGCAATTTTAATGCAATTTAATTCGCAGTAATATTTTCCAATTTGTTCGTAATTTAAATATAATTTCCTTTTTTTCTTTTTTTTTCTTTCTGATAATTTGAGATCATTTAATTAAGGATAGATTAATTTGGAAATAAACGAGGATTATTTTATACCTTGTTTTCTTAGAAAAATTTTCGTTTCGAAATATATCATCGTCTGTTCAAAAAAAAAAAAAAAAAAAAAAAAAAAAAAACAGGATAAATAAAGAGAATCTTCGCTGATCTTTGGAATAACACGCGACTTACGTTAATTCTCAAAATAATTTTGTTTCTATATAGAGAAGATAAGTGAAGATAAAAGAAACGATAAATAAATAAATAAGAAATATTGGAGAATATATAAAATTAAAAACGATACACCCAGTATATATTAAATACACTTGGCGTATGCACGAAGGTTGTGTGTTGTTTCGAGAATACGTCGATGTTTCTTCTCTCTTAGAGAAATAAAAGAAAATTTGCAATGGAAATAGGGTGGTGGTGGTGGTGGTGGTGGTGGTAGGTACGTTCTTGACTTACCCCTTCTTAGCTTCAGGGTGACGGGGTCCGATGAGAGCCGCAGACATTTCAGCACTGAAACAGAAAGATGCTGAGAGAAAAGAGTAAAAAATAAAAAAGATGAAGAGAAAGGGAGACTTCGGTGTGTGTGAGAGAGAGAAAGAGAGAAAGGGAAGTAAAGGGAATGTCCTGAAAGAACGAGTGAGTGAGTGAGTGAGTGAAAGAGTGAAAGAGAGAAAGAGAACAAGGCAACCTCGAGAAGTGGGTGGGTCTGGTGACTGGAATGAGAAGTACGTGGGTCGACCTGGTGCTTTCTACATTGAGGTAGAACACGTCTATAAGCTAAACCGAGCTTAGAAGGTACTCTACGACATTGCTAACTATAATTTATGAAGGTTATCATCAGTATGATACACTGCTATGATTAAGATAGGTAACCCAAAAAAAAAAAAATCTAATTTTTAGAATATTTTTAGATTATTTTTATTTTCTTTTTAAACAAAATTTTACTCGATTTAAATATATATAATTATATTGGATGGAAATTTAAATATATATATATATATATAATAATAATAATTTATATATATATATACTTTCCTCTCTAAACAAAAAAAAAAAGAAAAAACTAGGCAAGAATATCGATGACATTATAAAATAGTGAAGATGAAACAAATAAAGAACATAAAAAACAATACGCACAGTATATACATTGTCTCATAGAGATGAACGTGATAAAAGTAGGAATTGCAACACCTGGAGGTGTACGAGGAATTCGTTTTAAAATGCGACATTAAAAACGCATTAACAAGTTATTCTCGTACATCCTCATCGTAATTTATAGTTTTCTAAGAAGGAAGAAATCACTAACTTGATCTAAAGTTCAAAGTTCGTCAGACGTCTTTTAACAGAGGACACCGAGGAGTATGCACACATATGATATAACAAATACATATACATATATATATATACAAAAAATGTTTCAAAATATGTGAACATAATTTTTACGAATGGTTTTAACATATCACGCTAAAATAAAAACAAAAGATCCCGAACAAATATGCACATAGAATAAAGGTGAATAAAAAAAAAAAAATAAAAAAAAAAAAAAAAAGAGAAAAAAATTACAAGATACGATATATCAAACGTAAAAATTAATTCAGTGCCTTGACATTAAATTCGTTGCATCGAGAAATCACCATAACTTTTTTTTTTTTTTCTTTTCGTCAATGATATTAAACAATAATTGTCTAAAAGTGAACACCTAAATTCAAGATAATCATTTAGAGACAATTAAGAAAAATAACGAATGCATATGATTAGTATATAAATAATATTATTAAATTTATGTTTATATAAAAGAGGTACCGAATTAACTTCTACACCTAATATAAAAGAAGAAAGAAAGAAAGAAATAGAGATAGTAGAACAAAGAAAAATATCAAGTAGTCAAATTAAATAAGTATACTTCTTAAAAGAAAGATATGTTATCTCTGCTTGAAATTGTCATAGGTCAGGAGGCTTATTTCTTTCTCTCTCTCTCTCTCTCTCTCTCTCTCTCTCTTTCTCTCTCTCTCTCTCTCTCTCTCTCTCTCTCTCTCTCTTTCTTTCTTTCTTTCTTTCTCACTCATATTTTCCAACACGTAGACACTTAGGTACTTTTACTACACGTACTTTACTTTTTATAATAGTTGAAGAAGTCCAGACTGAATTCTACCCCTCCCTCCTACCCCCACCCACTTCCCCCTACAATCCCCTCAAACACAGATAGAAAGGAACACATAAACCGAGATAATGTAAATAATGCAGCTGAAAAATTCTTCACCGACTTTATAGAAGTGTTCATAGTAGTAGAAAAAAGGAGAAGATATACACACACACACACACACACATACACATTTTAAAAAACGATCTTTTTCATAATTATTCTCGCACGTTTCGTCATTTAAAAATACTTTTCATAGTCCTCGCGCCGTTCCATGGCATCCCGCGGACGTTTCATCAAGCAGATATATTCTCTCTCTCTCTCTCTCTCTCTCTCTCTCTCTCTCTCTCTCTTTTCTTTCTTTTTTTTTTTTATTTTTCCTTCCTTTTTATTTTTCTTCTTCTTCTTCTTTCCTTGAGAAGATACGACGTAAAGTACATCTTCCGCGTGATAAGTATAATAATACACGACTACGTTTATTCGCGTCGTTGAAATTTAAATGGAATTTGCATTACGAGATACTCTCGACTTTATTGTTGTTTTCGTTTTTTCGTTTATTATTCTAATAATTATTATTACTTTGGAAAAGAGAGAGATAGAGAGAGAGAGAAATATCTATAAAATAATTTATCTTATAGACAAGAAGATTATCGGACATTTAATCGCAATTTACGTTTTTAGAAAAAAACGTAAAGAAAAAATTAATGATTCGTGGTGAAC